TTAGGCAATACAATGCCTTTGGTATAGGAGCAATTGGCAGTCTTCAATGTTACTGAAATGTCTGTAGACCAGACCTTTGTTATGATTCCTTGCAAAATCTCTTTGTTGGAAAAAACAGAACTGAATTATGTGAAAGTCATTTAGTGGTAAAAATTGTAACTGTTATAACAAAAATATGTTTTAGTTTCTTTTAGTTAAAAACAAACTAGAACTGTTTTCTAGGAAAATCTAGTTTTGACATCTGCTGAAATTTGGTGTATGACTTAGTGTAGGTAGGTAAATGGAGTTCTTCAAAACATAAGCCTTATCAATCACTTAAATAGGTCTAAGGTTTTGAAATCTTTAGGAATATACTCCTGTTGGAGTATACTACTCTTCTGGACTTCAACTTACTTTGTAAGTCACTTCTCTGTTTTTGCTTGTCTCCATTTTCTCATTCTCTTTCCATAGACAGTATGTAAAATTATAGATTACTTTAGGTTGGAAGGGACCTCAGAAGGTCCTTTAATCAACCCCCTGCTTAAACCATGTCAAACTTTAAAAGATCTGGTTGCTTACAGGCTCTAGAGCCTGACCACTTTCTTTGTGAAGACTTTTAATTTCTTCATCTGATAAGAATTTCCCTTGTTGCAGCATGTCTGCTGCCCCTCATCCTTTTGCTGTGAACTTTAAGAAACATCTGACTGAAGATAATGTTTATATTCTGCCTCCCTGCCTTTAGCCTTCTGTTCTGCAGATGGAATAAACCCACCTGCTTCAACCGCTTCTTGTGCATTATGTGCTCTAAGCCCTGGCCATCTTGATGGCCTTTCTACGGGCTGTCTCCAGCTACATCCATGGATGTGACTGTGCATTCATTGCTGTCTAAGCTTCCCTCATACAACTCTCCCAGCCAGCTGCAAGCTTAACTTAAAATTCTTGTTGCTAACTGCTGCCTTCTTTGAAACAATGATCAATGTTTATTGTTTAATATCTCTGTGCTCTGTGTCTTATGCTATGGAAGTTGTAGCAGCTTTTAGAGTTGGGAAGGTGGTTTGTACTTCCCAGGAGAGTGTCGTCTTCAGCTGTGAGGTGTTGTGGGCATTAATGCAGAAAGACAATAGAGTCAGTGACTTTCCTTTCTGTAGTATTGGTGGGGGTAAGTATTCAATCCTTCTCCTTCTCTCCTATGACAAGAAGTTCAAAGATGAAAAGTCATCACAGTTTCACCAAGGGTTATCCCTTTTTGTTTGCTTGATATTTTGTTTGTTTGATTTTTGTTCTTTTCTAAGGTTAAAGCTATTCCCCTTAGTGCCTTGCCCTTTGGTTGTATACCTGCCTGTCGTATTGTTCATACCAGACCCAGTAACTAGCAGTTGTGCGATATGTTGCTTTGGGCACTTAGGTTTCAAAATATGTAGCTAGTATTTTCATAGGTGGGTGTGAGACGGGTTGTGTAAAGTGTAGGATGTGAAAATAATTATATATTTGTTCCTCTCCCTTAATGAAGGGTGTCTGTGGGAATAGGATAAATAAGCAAGAGCACTGTATGTGACAGTCTTCCTGAACAGGCAGTGCAGCACTGTGGGATGCAGTGTACTGTCTTCTCTTCTGCTGTGTCTGTATTATGCTTCTTATGCTATGGTTAGCACAAAACCCGCTGATCTAATTTGGATTTAAATGTACAAATATTTCTTTATCTAATTAGCATTGCTCATGTGAATACTTTTCAAAGAAGCTTTTAGATAGATGTAACTTTTTTGAAATGTATATGATGCAGGCACTTTGGGGTATCAGGACATACATCAGATTATTAAGCATCTGTGTTCTTCAGCCTGCATTCCAGAGAAAGAAACTTCATGTTTTGCTAAACTTAGTTTGTAGTAACTGGTATCGCAGTGACTCCTTCCCTTGTTTGCATTTGCAAATTTACTTCCTTCCATTCAAGGCTAGACTTGCCTGTGTACTTCTGTTCTTGCCTATGTTCTCTCCCAGTTAGCTACTAGTTCTCCTTCCTAATATGCCTGCCCTCTGCCCCTGCCCCCCAAGTTCATTCATATGCTTTTCACATAAACACTCATCAGTTCTGTGAGGAATGATTTTCTGCTGGGTTACAGAGCCTGTTTTCTTCTACACACCACAACAGATACCAAAACATGATTTGAAAGTCCAGTGACATTTTAGAAAACATTTCTTCTGGCACAAAACATCATCTAGAATGGATATAACTTTTTAGTAATTTTAGATAGTGGATTTTCAAGTGGCACCTCTTTCTTTGTTACTGTTGACTAGTTGGCAAATGTTGCATTTAAGTTCTCACTTTCTAATATGCATTTGCACCTCTTATGCCAAAATGTATGACTTGGCATCCTGTGGTGCGTATACCTTTGCATTTAACGTGCATTCCTGCCAGATAACACAAGCAGTTTTGTGCAAGGCTATTACTTAGGTGGGAAGACCTGAAGATCAAGAAGCTGCAGGGCTTGGTTTTAATGATCCAGTTCAGAGCATCTCTCTTGCTGAGTAATATCCTAGCATTGTCTTAACAGCCCCAAATCATCATCCAATAATAGATAACCGTGACTTAAAAATGAGGTCATGAATGCCTGTAGTCATGACAGTTTTACTTGTAGATAAAGGATGGCTAATCTCTCCATCTCACTACATTTTGAATGTGGAAATCATTTCCTGCTTGCTTCCTTTAATACTTAAACTTGTAAATAGCAGCTTTTTCAGTTCTGACCGTACTAATTCTGAGTTTGCGGTAGCCATGCTTACCCGCTTCTGCAGCTGAAGGAGGGTCCTGTCTTTCAGGAGTCCTTCTTGATGAATGATTCATAGTTCACAGCTATGAATGTAGAATGTTCATAGCAGGATATAAAACTGCCTTCAAAGGTTTAATGTTTCCTTTCAGATTAAACAGATGTTCCAGTTAGTCTTAGTAGCCCATAGACAGGCAGGCATAGGGCTTACTCAAGTCTTGATCCTTATTGAGCTATGGCCTTTGGCAGGGCTGGCAGTTTGAGTGAAAATTACTGTTTTATTTTTGGGGTGGTAATAGTAGTAAAATGTCATCAATACATGTTGCATTAAGTTTAAGCTTCATATTAAATGCTGGCAAGCTGTGTTATACCACATTTGGAGGTTAATATAGTTGCTTCTGTTGTATTTGTCACTGTAGCATCATGATCTTAAGTCATCGCTTCCTTCATTGGCATTTGGAAATAAGTTACTGGATTATTACATATTATTATATCAGTTATATTATGAGTATGGTTCCTCGTGGTTATACAGTTGTGACAGTAGCAAATCTAGAAGAAAGATAGACAGGGTAACTTTTTTAACCACTGTTTGAAGAGTCACTGGATCTTGTCTACTAGAAGTCCAGGTTGAGCAAAAATTGGATAGCTTTGTTTTAGCTAGCCAACCCCAGGTTTTGCGGTGCTCCTAACCATCTTTTCAGTTAATAACCCACTTCGTTGTAATTAAATTCATCTGTCAGCTTCTGGCATTGTAGCTAGAGGCTTATTTTTTCACTTAACATTTCCTCTGCCCTTTTGAAGATGTTGATTGTGTTGTATCAAAACTAAGCAGTATTTGAATGTTTTATTACTCACATTGAACCAATGTCTAGGAGGGTTTACTGGTCTATTAGGAGACCAGAAATCTGAGGTTTACAATTAATTCTAGTCATAATCTTCCAGTAAAACTTGATTAAATGGTAACATGTAAAAATTATTTTGCTATTAATGCTTTAGATGTTTGAAAGCTGAGAGGAGTTAGTCAGATAGTGTAAGTCATTAGGGTACTTCTGTTCCAGGACCTTCTAAGGCAACTGCAAAACCAACTGAGGATCAGGAATCTTGGCAGTGAGCAGAGTGGAGTTTGTATTACGAGGTTCTGGTAGACCAGTGCCATGTGCTTTTCAAGAAATTATTTATTTTACTGGAAAGCCCCTCAGTTTTCATAGAAAGTATTACTATATAAAAAGAGTGTACTGATTTTTTTTGTGTGTTATTGATCTTCCTTCACAGAACTCATAATAATAAAAATTTCTGTATTGCAGATTTAATCCAGTGCACAAATGAGATGAATGTGAACATCCCACAACTGGCAGACAGTCTGTTTGAAAGAACTACCAACAGTAGCTGGGTAGTGGTCTTCAAATCTCTCATCACAACCCATCACCTAATGGTGTACGGAAATGAGGTAATACAAAAAATAATATGTATGAGAACAGTTACAGCACTTCATAAGTGTCAGCTAAATGCTTCCACTAATTATCTTTGTAAGAAAATCTTTATTTTTACCTTTTTGTGTCTTAACTCTGCATGAACACATCTCTCATTATGTGTTTGTCTACTTTGTTTGTTAGTACTTTAAAGTTTGTAATTCTAGAATGAAAAGTAAGTGTCCTCAATGCTGGAGGTACCTTTTTCTGTGGTGTTATTCTAATAATAAAAAACCAAACAGACGAAACCAACAGAAACTATCTTGAATGGAATTCTAAAAGCTGAAAATGAAAGCATTTCTAGGTTCATGCTGTAGCTAATCCAGATGGTTTTTTCTGCCAGATAATTCGATTCTGAACGGATTTGTACTATCGCCCCCTTAGCCTTTTGCAGTGAAGGCAAATGTGTGCCTGTGAGCTGGCTTTGAGCATCTAAATAACACCAAATACTGTAGAACAATTAAACAAAACCCCAATATAAACAAAAAGGAATAAGCTTGTTTTGTTCCACAGCTTGAATTCCTATGGGGCCTTATTTTTCGAGATGCCAAGCATAGCAGCAGCTTGAATTTTCTGCATTTAAAAAAAACCCCAAACTATACTTTGAATGCTTTTTTAACATTCTTTTTTACTGCAAACAGTCAGTATAATGTAAGCTATGTGAATTTTGGAATTAAGAGGGATAGCTTCAGAAAATTACAGGTAGAATTTTGTGGAGAGGACCAAAACTTCTCATTTCACATTGCATTCAGAGTTCTTATAGGTAGTGTAACTGCTTCCTCTGGCTGACTGGCTGTGTTGTGAAGGGTTTTAAGTTTTTAAAAAAAAAAACAAACATATAATGGTTTCTCTTGCAGGTCAGCTGCAGTGTATTTCTGGTCTTGGTGAAAATATATACTTTGAAGCTAAGTAAGCCACAAGAGGGCAAACTTCTCGTGTTGACTTTAAGCATTATCACTGGGATAACTGACACTTTCCAAAATAGACTCTATGCTTTTGCTGTGCTTGCACTTTGAGTCATAAATTTTAAACTGATACCAATACACTTCATAGTAATTAAAGGTATTTCATGGGACTGCTGTCTGAAATATTTTCCATTTTAAGAATAAAACTGCCAAACAAATTTTGCTTGCCAGATGTGTTACAGAAGTAACGAGGGTAAGATCGCTGCTCAAGATGAAACTTTTCACAGCTAGAAATAGTACTTGAACAATGAATGCGGAAATTGAGTGCTTATGAAAATGTCTAGAAGTTTATAGAGAATCTGTAAATCCCTTTGTAAAAAAACCTGAGAAGTGTTTGGTCCTCCAGCTTTTGCTTAATTCGTTTATAGCTAAGTACTGAGTGCTTTTACCCTTCTCCAGTCTTTTTTTCTATGTAACCTATGTATTTATGCTAATGAAAATAATTCAGTAGTACATGTTACACTAATCACAACTATTTTTCCTCTGTCCAAATGTTATTACAAGTGAATGATTGGTTTATTTTTGTAGCAGCTCTCTATACAGTGGTTCATAAGACAAAATTATTTTTCCTACTAAATATGACCTGAAATGTGTCTTCACAAGATGAAAATACCATCATTCATTTTTGTGAAACGTAATTCAGAATTATATGTAACTAATGAGATGTACTAAGTGTGATACCGTGTTAATGTTTTATACGGATTCTTATGTTTGTTTAACGTTTGATTTATAAGCCAACTAATCTTTGTATCACCTTATTTTCATATTTGAGCTAAGTACTATTAAAATTGTATGCTGAGCAAAGATGCCTTGGCTAATTGGTAAAATGAAATCAACTGTTATAAAATTGAAGTTAGTGAAACAATTGTGAGCCTGTAAAATGAGAACGTATTTGGAGGGATTTTTTCAGAAGTTTCCAATTCCATATTCTGGCTTAAAATAAACAGTCTTTCAGTCAGAGGCCTTCATGCAATATCTGCATGATTTTGTTTTGTTCAGATTTTTACATAAAAAATAATAACTAGCTTCATTTGAAAATTTAGCTGAGTTTTTGTAATAGTTTCCAGATTTGAAATCAGTCTTAAAGCATAAAAGCTGAATTTCATAAGCTGGATAAAAAGAGTTTCTAGTACTGTTACCTCAGTTCCAGCTCATTGGTAATATAGTAAAAGCATTCAAATTTTTCCTTTCATCTAGCGTTTTATCCAGTATCTGGCGTCCAGAAACACATTGTTTAATTTGAGCAATTTCCTAGACAAAAGTGGATTGCAAGGTAAGGTGTCTTTTTCATTAAAAGTTAGTAGTGTGCTGGGGGACAGTAAATACAACTTGGTAACTCTAACGGACTGTGTCATTTAAGAAGTAATTTTTCTGTCTGTTTTACTCCAAACTGCATTTCTTCATTTACAGTGCTATTGTGGCATGGCAGAAGCTGTCTGCTGGAGGAATTTGTTGTGTCTTTTAGGAAAGGCTTACTTATAAATGCTTCTAACTTTCTTAGGTAAACAGATCTGACTTAGTATTCCTCCTATTTCTGAAGAGATTTCTCCATTTGGAGAGGTATATTCTGATTAGTAAGTTAAATTTCAAAAAATGCATCGTATGTATATCAGATACAGCATGTCAGTGAGACAAGAACTGTGTCTAAAAAAAAATTTAAATAAATAAACTTCTTGGGAGACTGTTTGAAGACCATTCCATCCATCTTTGAGACTAATTCTATGGGCAAATAGGTTTCTCTCTGGTTCAGATTTTTCAGCTGAAATACCCTTCCAAATTGTTATGCTGCAGTTCAGTGCAGTTCTGATTGTACATGTAACTGTCGTCTTTTTTTTCGCCTGAGGTCATTTCTTACTTTCTGCATTGCTTTTTATATAGCTGGTTCTAATCTTTGCCACAGGTGTACTAAAAAAGGCACACAGAATGGTTGCCCGGGGACAGAAACCTGCTCAGTGATAACCGAGGGTCTACCAAATTGCCTCATTTTATTGTCTTAACTTCCATGGTCTCAGTATAGACTGAACAAATCTTGGTCTGTATCCTTAGACTGACAGTTATCAAAATGTTTCTTATCACCACTGTCTTAACATAGAAAAATTTCTATTATGTCTTAATGTTTCCTTCAATGCCTTTTTCTGTTCAGTTGTAAATGAGAGAATGTGTTGTGGAGTTGATGCAAACATCTTTGTGAATGCATCGTGTAATTTCTCTGGTAGTAATTTCTATCATAGTATGAGAGAACTTGCATAAAAATACTTTGTTTTGCCTTTGGAAGTTATTTCATTAGGAAGTGAAGTGTAAACTTCTACATAGTTCAGGTCTTCTAGATATTTGGAGTATTGTCTGTTTGATTTACATGGTGACTACAATGATGTACACAGCTCTTTGTAACACATGAACTATACAAAATGAGGCAAAAATATAATGAAGCTGTCTTGCGTTAATATCTTGCACTTTATTTAGAGCAAGGTTCTTGATCTTTAATTGACTAGGTAAGTAATAAGCTTCTGAAACTTGTTTTTTAGGTTATGACATGTCAACGTTTATCAGACGGTATAGTAGGTATCTGAATGAAAAGGCAGTTTCCTATAGACAAGTGGCTTTTGACTTCACAAAAGTAAAAAGAGGGTAAGGACTGTATTTTGTTTTGCTTATCTTGAGGCTTTGTCTTATGTCCTGTAATTCAAGTGGAAAATACCAATGTTGGCTCCAACTTAGTACAGACAGTTATGTCTGCTTTTCTCAGTTGGATAGCTCCCATGACACACAAAGGCTCAACTGCCCAGTTATGTATATTGCAAAAATATTTTACTTCAGTTATTGTAATCGTAATTCTTTAAACATTAACAGTTTAATATAAAGAAGTGAAAAATGGTATACATCAAAGTATATATCAAAAAAGTAGAAGTTTGGACAAATCTTCCACGATAGATCACAAAGTTACTTTGTCTTGCACGCAGTATGGGGGACTATGCAATTTACTTGTGTTTCTAGCTCTGGAATGTTTAAATGACAGGTGTTTCATGAAACACCTTGCAGTCCTTTCTGGTGTTTCTCTGTTCTTGTCCCAAAATGTATGACGTTTACTACCTTTGTAAAGGTAGTGCAATTCATACTTTTAACAGAACATTGTAGTAGATGCTACTCAGAAGAGTTTGTCTACATGAATTAAGATTTTCCCTGGAAAGTGAGCTCCTTTAAGAGAAATCAGTTGTTTGAGACTAGGTACCGGGTTACATGTAAAATAACGCACTGCAGAGCACCAGTAGTTGGGTAAATTGCATGTTATAGTGAACGATGGAATTCGTCTGGAGATCTCCTTCATTGGGAAGGCTGGAGAGGATGTACTGGTCACAGTTGAAAGTCTTTCCATCTTTGCCCATTATCTCTGTATGCAGTGCTTTTTAAAGTTTAAAAACATAATTTTAGTTCTACATTCAGGCATCCTTTATCATCCATACACAGGAAAATTTATCTTGATGCTTAAAAGTTAATTCTTAACTAACCCACAAAAATCTCAACCTAAAACTGTTGCAATAGTGGGCTGCCTAATGATATCTTGCATTAGTGTTACAAAGCCATTTAAAATTGGCCCAAGAAGACTGTCCAAATCCCTTACACCTCCTTGCTAATACTGTACAGTCCATTTTGTTTTGAAATGTGACAGTAAAGTAAAAGGGGAAAGCTTGGGCTCCTTTCACTGTTTCTGCCTTTAGATATGGTTGGAGTCCCAACAACATAAAACACTTAGCTTTTTCTGTATATAGAATATGTATGTGGTCAGGTGGCTGCAGATACACTAGAGACTTACACAGTTCCTTTATAATCAGGTGTTTTAGGCCCAGTGAGGTGAATTATTTAGCCCACAGCATGTGTCTGGAGGTCCTTTTTCAGGAATAACTGTTCTGGTGGCAGCAATCTACCTTTCCCACACCTCACTTTTTTTCTCAGGAGCTCTGCTCCCATGCCCTGCCACGTTAGGTTTATTGCAGTTGCTGTTTGTGGTTAGGAGGGAGTATACGGCACAAGTAGAAAGCTGGAAGCGGTGTGCTCCCCATTGCTTTCCAGCCTGGAGAAGAGCCACAGCCTTTTCTGTGCAGATGCACTGTGGGATTTACGCTTGCAGGAGACATTTGGTTTGCCGTGTGCATGCTGATGCAACTGCAAGGCTGTCTGAGTGGTCTTATAGAAAGCAGTTGTTTCTTGCCACTGAGGTGATTTTAATCTCTTCCTCGGTTGTTGCTTTTCTTGGATATTTTTGGTCTTAGTCTATTTAATCTGGACAACTAATAAACAACCAAATATTGGTAGTCAGCCATTAAAAGGAAGTGCCATGTAGTCTCTATAATCTTTCTGAAAAAGCTTGAAAAAGATATTGTCACATTTGTTTATTCTTTCTTACTGCTTTTAGTTGAAAAGAAAATCATCCAAACCGACACAGAATAATAATCAGTGACGGGAAAAAGCATAGGTAAAAATTTGCTTCAGAAATAACCTTCAGAGCATTTTTTTGGTTACCTGATGCATCATACCTCTGCTATAGTTCTGAGCACTATCAGTTTCATTTCCTCTGAATAAAAATTCATCTTGGATTTATATTTTGGCCAAATAAAAGTTGTTGCTTTTGTACACTGCAGTTATTACAGTTGTATTGGCTAGACAGCATTCCTAAACAACAAAATGCCTGCTTTGAATGGCAATGATTTAAATGTTTTCTCTGATGACCTATTTTATTGCCTACGTTATGTTTCTCACTAACAATTGCCTTCAAAATTCAGGTGAAGAATTTTCTTTTGTTTTGCACAACAGGGCTGACGGAGTGATGAGAACAATGAGCACAGAAAAACTCTTAAAAACTGTACCAATTATACAAAACCAAATGGATGCACTTCTTGACTTCAATGTAAGTTTAGCAGTGTGTGCATGTCTAACATACTACTGACTTTATTGTACAAACCTTCACAAGCTTGTAAAATAAGTCAAGATTAAAGGTCTTGAACTTGGTTCCATGTTATCTGCACAGTTTAAAAGAGCACACATCATTTTGTTCATTGATATACTCCCAAGAAACCAGAAAAAAGAAATATGATGCTCACTGGAGAGATTGCTTTGTGCTAAATTAGTGTTGTTTATTGTGTACATTTTGTTCATTTGAAAGCTGATTATTTCTGCCCTCTGTCTTTTAATTATGTTAGTTAACACTAACGTTAGTTAACAGAAATGTCTGCCAAAATGATTTGATTTAATTCTGTGCTGAGTGATCCTGTGTTGATTTGCTATGCTGCTACTTTCCATTAATAGCCAGTGAGATGATTGGAAAGCATGCCTTGGGATAGAGTACTGGAGTTCAACTAGAAGTTTTCTGATAAGGGATCAATTCAATTAAATTAACTATTTTCTGATCTTCCTAGGTCAATAGCAATGAACTTACAAATGGTGTAATTAATGCTGCCTTCATGCTCCTCTTCAAAGATGCCATTAGACTGTTCGCGGCGTATAACGAAGGGATTATTAACCTCTTGGGTAAATATAACTGCTTTCTGCAATGTTAAACTTTGGGGAGGGAGCTCAGTAAACAATCACAAAGAGCTGCTCTTTTTTGAGAAGTTGAAATAGTCTTACTGTAAACACCAGAATACTGCTGTTATTTCCAAGTCAGATTTATTTCTGAGGTTTTTCTGTCCAATTGCATTTTCCATTGCATTGTGTACAGGGGTGGGTAAATTTCTGAAAACAAAGCCAATTCAAGTTTTTCTTCACTTAATTTCTTTCTTGCACTGCTTTGTTTTGTGGTTTGGTGCTGGTTTGTTTTTTTTTTTTGTCTCATTGAACTGCGTGGCAAACCGGAATCATGGTATTGATGAGTTTTTCTTTAAGAAGCAGGATCAGGTTTTGTTTCTTTTTAAGTGGAATAAGTTATGGTCAGGTACAAATTTGCAGCCACAGCATCTGTGATTGCTTGGCTATCAAAACTTGAACATTGGTTAGTTTTAATGACTGGTTGGTTTATGTTTTTAGAGTGTATCTTACATTTTAAGGGGAACTACAAATTCAGGCTTCAGGCCCTTTCACTTGCACATGCTGGAGATACAGGGGAGCCTAAATTTGGAAAATAATTAAGTTGAAAGTAATCTGTTGATTTGCCTTGGTTTGGTTGTATTCTGTGATTGGATCAAGCTACTTGATTGCTGTTATTACCCAATGCTTGCAAAATGGAAAGCAAAATCCAGAATTAGTCAGTAAAGGACAGTCATGCTTCCAGTCTGAAGCTCCTGTCTACTTCTTTTCCCTCAGTAAGAACAACTAGTATGCAGTTGCTTTCACTCATGTTTTCAGTGAAGCTTAATATAGAAACAGGCCTTGAAAGTGCTGTTTCAAGGAGAGTGGGACCCTCTTGCTTTTGGTTTTGTAATCAGTTGCACCTCGTTGTAGACCACACCATAACAAGAAGCATCAGTCTGGTAGAGAATACCAAAATCTTGCCTGATATATGACCACTGGATTAGAGTAGATGTTTGACTGCCACGTTGTAAAATTGCCTTCCTCCCACCCCCCCCAAGAGGATGAATTTAGATTTCTTTGGGTGACCTGTTATTAAACTTGATTGTCCTCTTCAGGGTGGTTTTGCTTTTGTGAGACCTAGTACCTGCAAGGTAAGGTGTAATTGCGTGCATGTGGTCATTAGCTCACGTTCAATGGAGCTTTTGTCATTTGGTGCAGGTTAGGCGTAGTGACTTCTGCAGTTAATGTAATAAAACAGATCTGCAGGCATTTTCTGTTTGTCTTGTTTTATATGCTTTTACTTTGCACATCCTTTGCAGAATGCTTGATTTCTTATTTAATGTGAGTATTCTTACTGTTTATAGAAAAATACTTTGATATGAAAAAGAACCAGTGCAAAGAAGGCCTTGATATATATAAGAAGTTCCTCACTAGAATGACACGGATCTCAGAGTTCCTTAAAGTTGCAGAGGTAAACTTTAGTCAGCCAAACTTTGCCCTTTATTTGAAACAGCTTATAAAATGCTTATTTTATCATAAAGATGATACTACTTCTTTCCAGGCTAACTGCAGTTCCATCAAGGGTCATCTTGTCAGTCTCTACCCTGGTGATTTGTTCATTTGAGAACTGTATTAAAAAACCTGACTACAGAATACTTACTGGTTTATCTTCTACTTAAGGAGGGGTGTATAAATGTGCATTTTAAAATTTCCTTGGTTACATAGTAATTGTGAGCTTTCTTTGAAGAGCCTTGCTTTAAACAAATAAAGTAACTTCATGGTGATGTGTTGCTTTCTGTGATTCTAGCTGTGTTCTAGTTTGAAACCCACAATTCTGCCATAAGTTTTAGATGAAACAACAGCTTCACAAATAAGAAATTAAGACAAGTAGATGAACATGTGATTTTTTTTTAAAGATGTCTTGGCTATTGGTGTGTTTATAGAGGAAAAAGCTGTTATCTTGCAAAATGTTTTGTTTGTGTTTTTTTTTAATTGTATTGATGCCCTAGTATTATGGAATTCCTTTCCTAACAAAAAAATAAGCCGTAAAGCTTGGCTCGCTGTCTGTCCTGACAGAATATCTCTATCAGAGATACTACCTTCAGCTATCTTCAGTTAACAATTGAAGTTGAGAGTATTAATCTTTCTATCGTGACAATATATATCCTGCTGCGGAACATCATAAGTTGATCTGCATTTTAGAAAACAGCTTCTTCACAAAACTTTGAAGGTGCTTTGTTTTAGCAAACATATGCTCTATATCAGTAGGGCTGAGAATTTACCACATAAATTGTGGGATAGGCAAGCTGCTCTAGCCTTAAAATTCTGAAACACTTGATTCTTACTCTGTTTTTTTTTTCTAAGGTTGTATCTGTTAAAATGTCTCTGTAACACACCTACTTCAAATGTGTATACATTTAACAGAAGAATTTATTATAACCAACCATTATAGAGTTCAGATTGTGGAGATTTAAAATGTATATGGACAGGTTTGTGCTTTTTACATGACTTCATCTTAATGTTGTTTGCTTTTTGAGCATCTTTGCCTTTAACAAAAGCAAACAGGTTCTAAAGCTCATTTGTTTTATTACAGCAAGTTGGAATTGACAGAGGAGACATACCAGATCTCTCGCAGGTAGATAAACCTATTATGTGTTTGCCAGTGCATGTCTGTTTGGGGTTGCATAATCAGAAAAACTTGGCATTATGGCATTCACTTATGCTTTCTCGCGTACATTGTCACCAAGTTATTTCCAAGTTTGTGATTAAATCCAACCTCTTGTCAGAGCCTGGCTTTTATATGCAGTGATCCTATTGTAAAATATTATAGATCATTTCTGTCATACTCTGAGTTTTAAGACAACCTTATTTCTATCATGCTTGAAGAGGCAATTTATATCTGTGAAATCACATAATGATATGATGAAGCTGTGGTTTTTAGCAAGCTTGCTTTTGCCTATATGCCCATGTAAATCATTGTGAAGGCTTGCAGAGCGTGCACATAGAAATGACTTTAGGTACAATTTCCTTCTTAGTGTCTCTTGAAATACTGATTGCTTCCGGTTGTCTGCTTGCTGTTTCCTAGCTGTTAATTTTAACATCTCTTGACATATTTCAGTACTTACTGGTGAGTCATTATGACAGAGTAATGTAGTGAGGAGAGTACATCACCTGATATTTTAAGTAATTAAGTATGTACAGGATGCCAAGATGCAAGTCTAAGTATTCTGAGCTGTTGTACCAGTTGCCCTACAGTTGCATTCTCTGAAAGTCTTTTAACTACTGATTTGCTTTGCCTTAGATTCTTCAAATCTGTTCCTGAATGTCTCTTTTTGCAGGCACCGAGTAGCCTTCTTGATGCTTTGGAACAACATTTAGCTTCTCTAGAAGGGAAGAAAATCAAAGATTCCACAGCTGCAAGCAGGTGCTTATGCCCTCGTCCTTTTAAACAATTGTTGAATCGAATGTTAAATCCATTATTTTTTATCTCATTATAAACTAAGGTTTGTGTAGGCTATGTTGAAGACATTGTATTAGCAATGATAGAATAGCAAGTTATCGTATTTTTTGCTGAGTACTTAAGGCAGCTTCTTCTAGGTCAACAGAACTAGGATCTAAGGAGCTGCAAACACTTGCTGTAGAATCCCTTGTGTAGTGGTTATACTTTTAACACCCAGTCTTGAACTTCTGAAGAGAAACTAAGGTTTTTTTCACTTACTGCATGCGAATGTTCATTTGATGTTAATAATTAGACTTCTGTAAGGTATGCAACATTTATTTATCAATGTCCTTAGACTCTTATATCTCAACTTTAATCCTTTTTTTGTCAAAAGCAAGGAAATGCTTCCAGAAGTCCTTACATTAAGAATGGATTTTTAAAGTAATTGGGATTAAAGCCATAATGTTTATGGTAAAAGGCATTCACTGATTTTGAGTGCTTGCTAAAACACAAAGTGCAATCTAGAGAAGTCCTCTAGACAATTGTCGTTGTTCTTTAAATTTAAAAAAGCTTAATATTGGGGGGAAGACTTGCAAAATTAAATAGCATTTCTTTATTGCATGTTCAAAAAATAAGGCAGTAATATTTTATATGTTCTGCTTTTACAGTAGTGACAATATTAGGGCTTAGCACCATTTTGTTAGCTACTTCTCAGAATATTTGCTTTCTTTTATAAGATTAGTTTGTTTTAAAAGTTAAGTATTTGTTCTAAATCTTTTTGCACACTCTTAAACATCATGATAAACTGCAAACTCTTCCTCTGGGATATACTAGTTGCATTGATAGTTTCTTAACTAAACCTGTTAAATTAACAACAGTTTGAATTGGAGCCCAGATTATTGGAGATTCCCATATATCTATCTACAAATAATGCCATCTTAGGCAAACAGGAAAAGAGCAAAGGCTTCAAACAGGAATTCTGGGATGCAGTTTGGAGGGGAAACATTTAAGGGGGAAAATCCAGTGTATAAGAGTAGATAGCATGATTTCCAGGCATTTTCATTTTGCAGTTCATATGGTGTATCTTATTTAAACTTACCACTTTGTACAGTGTAAGATATAACCAATATTATAAAGAGTTCAGAAGGAGACTGGGTGGATACAAGCAAAGTGCTCTTTAGACATTCCTATCACGTGTCACCTATTAACAGCCAGCTTTTCTCCTGTCCAATTACTTTAGGGCTACCACCCTTTCCAATGCAGTCTCTTCCCTTGCAAGCACTGGCCTGTCCCTCACAAAAGTTGATGAAAGGGAAAAACAAGCTGCGTTAGAGGAAGAACAGGCTCGCTTAAAAGCTTTAAAGGTAGGCATACAGAATTTTTAATTGAAAACACTTTTCCTGTGTTCTTGTTGATAGCTTATTAGGATTCTTAAAGGAGCAAAGGGGAAAAACAGAATTGCTAATACTGAACATGTACTGTTGGCAAAGTGCTGGAGGTGGGATCTTATGTACATATACCATACAACTTGTGGAGGGTTTGTTAAAATAGTTTCTGAAGGACTTGTGGCACCACTGACTCTTGTAGTTATAAGTAGCTGACACTAATGTGTGGAATATATAAAAAGTATTCTTTAGTTCTGCTTTACTTACCTCCGAAGTCATATACACAAATGTTGTTTCTGGATTTCTTATGCCAGCTCACTTTCCCAACAGGAGCAACGTCTAAAAGAACTTGCAAAGAAACCTCATACCTCTTTAACAACTGCAGCTTCTCCTGTGTCGACTGCAGGAGGAAGCATAATGACGACACCAGCCATTGATATTTTTTCTACCCCTAGCTCTTCGAACAGGTATGCTTAATGGTGTTGCTTCACTGTGAGATGCACTGCAGCTAGGGTTTCCTCTAAATTTCTGCTGCAGAGTGTGCATTGCAAAAGGTTGGTTGGGTGTAGAATACGTTAGTCATGTGATAAGAAATGATGTTTTGGGTAAAGTTGATGGGGGAAAATAACCTATTGCTATAAATAACATAAAGTATGTTTTCATCGTCCGTTTGCAGAATAGTTTCTGGTATGAACCAACTGCTGACAGCCCTTGTAGCTGCTGTTAGTCAGTGAACCAGACGGTTGGAACTGTAAAACACACATGCTTTCTCCCCAAAGAACCTGACAAGTTAATTTGGGAAAAGTCAAATACAAGTTCAGTTTGGGATGTCATGAAGATAATACTGAATTTAATGTTGCATTTCTAGATCTTTAAAAGTAGAGTGGTAACAAATGTTCTTGGTAGATTTTCAGAAAAAGGAAAGCCTCAAACAGGGTTTGAAAGAAGAGAGGCAGGTTTTGCAGTCTTGAGTTGTATCTGGAACATCTCTGTCTGCAAGGACTTGCAAAGATAGTGCAAGAGTACTCACTGCACACTAATCCTGATCTTTGACTAGCAGGAACTGTTGGTATAAGTGTGTGATCTTCACTCTGTAACATACCTGTCAAATCAAGCGGTAGCAGAAGGTACAGTGCTTTTTTACCAGTATAGAAGGAAATAGCTCTCTGAAGGCATATTTTTGCTTTAAGTGTGATCCTAAACCTAAAGGATTGCTTAGTTGTTCTGTTGGAGCTCATGTAAGAATCTACTGTTCTTTTAAAGTAGTCAGCACTTTGATGGCCGCCTTTCCCCATTAGAAAGCTATTGTAGGAAATTACTTGACACCAAATATGTGGAAAACAGCTGAATAGCATATAAGGAGCTAGAGAATCTGTCTGTGTTAGTAACTGAAAAACTTCCTTGAGGCCAAAATATTTGAAATGAGTGTATGCTTTGAACTAGTAACTTGAATATCTGATCTTGCTTCTTAAGATGTCTGAAACATAAACATCTGATAAAGCTTTTTCAAACAGCCAGAAATGCTACATAGCGAAGACGAGCATTTTCTTCTAAAAAACCAAATGCTAGTCTGTCTTCATGTTTAAATTCAGTTGCTAGCACTATGACTGCTATGAGCAAAGAACAGATTTTTACAGCAGGAGCTGCCATGAAGGGGGTATGTTGGGTCATAAGTTCAGTTGCTTGCTATTAGACACAATGTGTCTGATTAATCCCTATCATTAACTTCAAGAAGCTTTACCTTGAAAATTATCTTGGTTCTGCTGCTCACACTACAGGACTGCGCCAGACCATGCTGCTTTTTAATAGGAGTAGTAGTGGCAAAATGTGATTTCAATCACTGTTGAAATGAAATAGTAAAAACTGAATGATACAAGTGATTGGGTTGGCAGGAGAATATACAGAGATCTAGGATGTGGCTACTACCCTTTAAACTCTTGTGCCAGTCTCATTTTGAAAAATGCTTGGATGCCACAGTGACATAGCAGCTGTATGTGCAAATTTTTGTTCATTTAATGTGCTAAAAAGTTCTGGGTGAACACGGGTACTCCTTTTTTTTTCTTTTCCCAAGACTAACTTAAAGTATGAAATGAACTCTCTGCAAGAGGGTGAATTTTACTGTTCCTGTTTGGCTCTTGAAATTATTGCAGCAGTGGTATTTAAGAGTTCACTCTTCATTGCCGTGTGATGTTCTTAGGTCTCAATTTGGTTTTGAATAGTCTAAAATGTGCATTTACATGAGTTTTCATTCACACGACTTACGTGTGATCAAGTGTTTCAAAGCTTCTTATATTTTGCTTTCCCCAAAGTTCTTTAATAGCTCATAGATGTAAGCCAGTTTCTCAGCAGTGGAAAGATACGAGTTGTGGAATTTAGATGCAACGTTTTGGTGGTGCAGCCCGTTAGAGTTCATTCTGTCAGTCTGCTTTTGTCATACTGTAGGTTATTTTAAAAATTGCTGAAGGCTGCTGAACGTAACATGCTCTAGCCCTGGTGTTGGACTGTGAGGAAGATGAGAAGACTGGTTGTCTTTCTGTCTTTAGACAGCTTTGACAAAGGTCACTTGGCATAACATAGACCTTAGCTTGCTACATTTTCAGTTCTGTAGAAGAGTGTTAATGTGAAGTTCCCCAGACTTTCTGATTGTGGCTTAGTTCTATCCATTTTGTAACAACCAATTTGTAACAAAGCTTTCCTTGGTGTTGACAGTCGCTAGCATTTGCCTTGTATTGAAAACCGTGATGTAGTTCAAACAGTTGTATTAATTTATTTTTGTAGCACTTCAAAGCTGCCAAATGATCTGCTTGATTTGCAGCCAACTTTTCATCCGTCTGTACATCCTGTACATGCTATGTCTGCTGCTCCACAAGTAGGAAGTACCTGGGGAGGTAAGAATTCTGGATCGGATTAAGGTTCTAATTGCTATGGCCATGTTCCTGTAAATGTTTCCCCTAGTCTGTGGCTGTTTCTTCCTTAAAGACAGACATCTTGCAAAGACAAGCTACAAGTGATGAAGGGAGTGGAAAAAGTCAAATCTGGGTATGGATTAAAATAATGTAGCAGCATGTGGTGATTACAAAGAGTTTTGATATGAGAGTTCTTGGTAGCACAGTTACTTTAATTGTTGACCAGCTCTGTCAGCCTCATAACTGCTGTCTTCAAGAGTCACATAGAAACCTACAGAAACTTAGCTGCGAGAAGTCAGTTCTGTGAAGATGTCTGCCAGATAGCCCATGTTGCATACACAGGAAGTTGAATACAGAATTTTTTAATACACATTTTACATTTTATCTAATGTTAAATCAAATTTGCGGGTGATAATAGAGCAGAACTTGGATGAGGCCTGAAAGGAGGCAGTTGTGACAACTATGCATAGAAGGCAAGAAAAGCCAGAATTATTGACAACAAAATAAGGCACCTCTTTACAAATTCTCTGCTGTATTTCATTTAAGTACAAAGGCAAATTAGCAAAAAGCTGTGCTTGGATCTCTTTAAATGAAGAGACAAAATTTATAAGGAACTCCTCCCTCTGAAATTTACTTCAGAACACCCAAATTATCGTTCTGCCCGGTTGCTAGGATGGACTGAATGAGATGTTAGGTTATCTTATTGATACAGGGAAGTCCTTAAACCACAGAGGCAAGCAAGAGCATTCTAGAAAGTCATGAATGTTACTTCAAGATTAGTTGGTGTTAGAGCGTTTACTCAAAGCCATTTTTCTCTTTGCTGCTTTGCAGTGTTCCAGAATACTTCTGATGTAGGTGACATTGCCTGCTTGCACCATTGGTTATACTGGTGGAGGATTAAAAATCTCTTATAAAGACGTTTCTTTTTACTTTTCTACATAAATGACACTTAGTTCAGGAGTTCACTATTTTATTATGTGGCTATTTCCAGGTTTGGGGTTTTTTTTATAAATCAGATGCTTGCAAAAATACTTTCTGTTATAATGTGAAAAATTGGGAGTTGCTGCTTCAGAAAGTTTTGTAGGTATCGGAATAATCCCATTCTGAAATTTTACTTCACTATTTCTTTTTGAGCTATAGCTTTTCTTAAACATCTTCCCAGTTATCTAATATATCTTCATAATAAGCAGTGTATGTATTCTACTTTCCTATTTACTTTTTGCTGTGTAC